ATTATGATATTGATAATTATGATAAGAATTATGATTAAAAGGTTATAACGATAATAATGATAATAAACATGATAATGAGGAATAACAATGAAACCAATGATAACAATGATAGTGATAATGATAATGATAATAACCATATTAATAGCAATGATACGAACCAATAACAACAACTAATTATGATAATAATACTGATAATGGTGATGATATCACCCTTGTATTCATCATTATTTTTATCATCCTCGCCTAATCTCCATCCCAATCATCCTTATCCTTAATCTAATCACCATCCTTTTTCATATCCTAATCCTAACCCTCATCCTTATACCAATCATCACCGTCTTAATCCTAAACTTAATCCTTATACCAATCATCAGCATTTTAATCCTAAACTTAATCCTTATACCTACCATCATCCTTACCACTTCCTAATCCATTTCCTCCTCCTCCTCCTTATACCAACCACCACCATCCTTATCCACATCCTGAACTAGTCCTCATCATTATACTAATCATTGTCATCTTTATCCATATCCTATTCCTAATCTATTTTTATCCTTATCCTATCCATCACCATCCTTATCGAGATAGCAATCATCACCGTTATACTAATCACCACCATCCTTATCGATATCCTAATCTTTATCCTTATACTAATCACCACACCCTAATCCTCACCATCATCATCCATATCCTGAACCTAATCCTTATACTAACCACCAACTAAAAGTCTATTTTTTTATCCCTTATCCATATCCTAACCCTCTCCTTATACTAACCTGTACCATCCTATTCCTTATCCTAATCCTCATTCTTTTTCTAACCTGTACCATCCTATTCCTTATCCCTCATCCTTATACTAATCACCACCACCTTATTCCTTATCCTAATCCTCATCCTTATACTAACCACCACCATCCTATTCCTTATCCTAATCCTCATCCTTATACTAACCACCACCATCCTATTCCTTATCCTAATCCTCATCCTTATTCTAACTCTACCATCCTCATCCTCATCCTTATACTAATCACCACCATCTTATTCCTTATCCTAATCCTCATCCTTATACTAACCACCACCATCCTATTCCTTATCCTAACCCCCATCCTTATACTAACCCACACCATCCTCATCCTCATTCTTATACTAACCCCCACCATCCTATTCCTTATCCTAATCCTCATCCTTACTAACCCCCACCATCCTATTCCTTATCCTTATTCTAACCTCCAACATCCAATACCTTATCCTAATCCTCACCCTTATACTAACCCCCCCATCCTATTCCTTATCCTAACTCCCATCCTCATACTAACCCACACCATCCTCATCCTCATCCTTATACTAACCACCACCACCCTCATCCTCATCCTTATACTAACCCCCACCATCCTATTCCTAACCGCCCTTCTCCATTTCTCCATATCCCGAACCCAACCCTCACCCTCACCCCAATCCTGAGCCTCATCCTACCTGGTTCCAGAGGTGCCAGCGCGTTGATCCTCCTCGGCAGCGTTGGGGACACGAGGCCGGGCGAACGACTCCCCGGCCTCTCCCCTCTGGCACTCCCCAGGCCCCCCGTGGCATACTTATTAGGCAGGAGAGTGTATCCTGAGGGAGGAGAGAAGGGGCGGCTTGGTTAGTCATGTTGGGGAGTTTTGTGGTAACTGAGGTTTATTTATTTATTAACTGTTTATTATTAATTGGTGTATGTGCTTTAGTAAGTGATGTATATATTTTTATTAAGTGATGTATATATTTTCTATTAGCTGATGTATATATTTTTAGTAACTGATGTATATATTTTATTAACTGATGTATATATTTTTCTTGACTGATGTATATATTTTTACTAATTGATGTATATATTTCCATTCATTGATGTATATATTTTTTAGTAACTAATGTAAATATTTTTAGTAACTGATGTATCAATTTTTATTGACTAATTATTAACTATTTATTTGTTTGTCTATCTATGTTTCTGTCTATCTATTTATCTGTATTTATCTTTCGGTCAATCTATTTATCTGTTTATTCATCTTTCTGTCCTTCTATTCATCTTTTTATTAATCTTTCTGTCTATCTATTTATCGGTGCATTTATTTTTCTGTCTATCTATTTATCTTTTTGTCTATTTATCTATCTATCAATTTATCTATCTATCTCTTATCTTTTAATGGCTTATTGGGCAGGAGAGTGTAACCTGGTTATTTATTTGATTTTATTTACTGATGTATATTTTGTATTAACTAGTGTCTATTATCTGTATCTCTATCTATTTATCTGTATGTCTATCTGCTTGTCTATCTCTTATCTATCTATCTATCTATATTTTGTCTTTTAATGTTTTTTGGGCAGGAGAGTGTAACCTGAGGGAGTGAGGTTACTTATTTTTATAATTTTAATTAACTGTTGTATATGTTGTGTTAACTAATGTCTATTATCTATCTATCTCTCTATCTATTTACCTATATATATCTATCTGTCTGTATATCTATTATTTATCTGTCTATCTATCTATCAATCTATCAATCTATTTCTTATCATTTAATGGTTTATTGGCTCTGGTTGTTGGGGAAAGATTCTGGTTAGGTATTATCTTTTTTAAGGTATGATATATTTTTGATTTATTAGAATCTTTGGGATGGAGTTCTGGCTTGAAATAAAGTCTGTGGAACGTCTTTTATGCAGCCTGTCTCTCCCCTTTTTCTTTACTATAAGTTTGATCACTGACTACCTACTTCTTGTAGGAAAGAGCTTGAAATATGTGTGTGTGTGTGTGTGTGTGTGTGTGTGTGTGTGTGTGTGTGTGTGTGTGTGTGTGTGTGTGTGTGTGTGTGTGTGTGTGTGTGTGTGTGTGTGTGTGTGTGTGTGTGCTGTGTGTGAATGTGTGTGTTCGTGCTAAGTATAATCACATTTTGCAATTCACATTAAGATCTTCCTATCCGGATTCTTGCCTCGTCCCTCACTGCCTCTCGCTTATTTTTATCCCTTTCTCTATCTCACCTTTTTCGACGCTGATTCCTCTGCTGTAGGATGATCCCTGGCGTAGCTTGCCGAGGTACACCCCCCTATAGCCACCTGCAAGGGGGTAGAAGAGCGTCATGCAATCATGCACTAAAACTGCTGGAACAGGGGGGATACTACGACAAATACCGTCTAATATCGAAGCTAATGGTTCTACATTTCTCATGTCTTTTTCGATGCTTTTATACAAGTGTTAAGCATAATATTACTTTTTTGTAATGTTATGGATTTTTTCTAAAAGTAATTAGGAAGTATATTGACCACCATACTGTCTGAATTCGTACAAAGTATTATAGAATTATTCAGGCAGACACAGCGTCTTTCATAGAAAACGAATAGGAATTCTCACAATGTAGGTATAACTAAAGGAAACATGTTCAGGCTCTCTTGTCCCCGTCTGCCTTCTTATCTTTTTCTTGAACAGACATATTCTTTTACTGATCAAGAATTTTGAAAAGGGAGGCACTTTTAGATCTTAACTTTCTCAATTGTACTTTAAATTATAGTTTATTTTTAATACAAAAGTTTTTTTTTTTCATAAATCCATTTAAGAAGACAACAAAGCACTTTCAAATTATACTTCACCAGCTACTCTGATGAGAAATGCAGGGTTTTTAGATATATCAATAAAGACTCGATGTTTATCCGTGCAGTACAGACATCTGACTTTTTAAAAATACAAACAATAACATTTAGAATCACAAAGGACAATAACGCGGGATATTCACAAAGCACACGGATCTAAAAACAGTATTGGAGATAATAGTCTATTTTTCTAAAGTCAACTACAGGAGTTTCTCTAATGGCGTTTAACAGTGAATTAGACCAAGGACATGTAGTTGCAACAAATATATCCTTCCCCGAATAAAGATAATACTGATATCAATAACAATGATCGAATGTAAACAGCAATGACATGTAGTTGCAACAAATATATCGTTCCCCGATTACAGGAGTTTCTCTAATGGCGTTTAACAGTGAATTAGACCAAGGACATGTAGTTGCAACAAATATATCCTTCCCCGAATAAAGATAATACTGATATCAATAAAACTAATGATAATAATGAACGCAATGATGATAATGATGATGATAAAAAATAACGATAATCATAACATTAGCAGTTGTAATAATAATGATCTTAATAATAATGATAATGATAATAATAATAATAGCAATAATAGTAACAATAACAACAAAAATATTAATAAATGATAATAACAGCAACTATAATACCAATGACAATAATAACAATAACAAGTGAATATTAATAATTACATTTACAAACAGTCATTGTTATGTTACAAATATTAGAAAGTGAGAAAGTTTAATCATTGTAATTTTTAATTGACTGTCAGACTGATATTTCTCAAGCTAATAGACATCAAGTTTGAGATTCGGGAAAAGTTCGAGATTCTCACTTATGCCTCTTTACTCATACGTAAGTCTTGACTTATGCCTCTGCGCAAACATTTTTCAAACAGATTCAAGGTCACTCCGAAGCAAATACTATTGGGCTGATTCATATAATGTCTGCAATCTGTCCTCGTGCAGATAACACATGAAAAATAGAGCATATGGCTTATGCAGTTTATTCCTTGAGGCTGAACTTTGCTTATAAGGTATTTGCGACAATTTTGTTTTTTATCACATATTTTTATGTTTATGTACACACACACACACACACACACACACACACACACACACACACACACACACACACACACACACACACACACACACACACACACACACACACACACACACACACACCACACACACACACACACACACACACCTACACCACACACACACACACACACACACAGAGAGAGAGAGAGAGAGAGAGAGAGAGAGAGAGAGAGAGAGAGAGAGAGAGAGAGAGAGAGAGAGAGAGAGAGAGAGAGAGAGAGAGAGAGAGAGAGAGAGAGAGAGAGAGATAGATAGAGAGAGAGAGAGAGAGAGAGAGAGAGAGAGAGAGAGAGAGAGAGAGAGAAGAGATAGAGGGAGTGATATGTATATACGTAGGTATATATAGTGTGCGGCTTATGGTTAAAATGCAGAGTTTAGCATCCTTCACACAGACACACACACACACACATATATATATTTCGTAACTGTCTCAGTTATGAAAGAAAAATGAACACACAAGCAAAGTATTCAGCATTCCTTACAACGGTGACTCCGAGGATAATCAGAATCATTGATGCAACTGGTTGAATAAAGGTCAAAAATAAAGGTGGCCAAACTTGGACGTCGGCCTGTTCTGTCTTATGGATTTGGCCACTGAGAAATAAAAAAACAAATCTTCTGGGTTTCATTTTCGAAAATAAACAGCAAGGCTTAATTTCAAACCAAAAGAAACAAAGACTTTCTGTCATAACGCAAATTGAAATTGACCAGAAAAAGTGAGTGAATCTGGTCATGCTTTAGAAAAATCCCAATTCTAAGCCTCCAAAAGACCCATGTTAAGCAGACCAAAAGCATCTATGCTAATGTGCTTTACTTTTTTGTGTGAAATCTTCAGGGGTACAGAGTGCAGGAATGAAATTGATCAGCCAATTAGTATCCAACTTTTTCTGACAATGTGCATTGCGCAGAAGGAACATTTCTTGTGTGAAATTTTTAGGAGGTACAGGGTATAGGAATGAAATTGATCAGCCAATTAGTATCCGACTTTTTTTCTGACAAACGTAATTCAAGGCTTATATATCCATTAAATAGCAAAATTAAGAATCTCAAGCTGGTTATTGTAAATCTCGAAAATATTGTCTATAAGCATGGTAAATTGTAGGTTTATTGATAGTCAAATGAAAGTGTTATAAAGGTCTAAACTTGGTATTTTATAGCATAAGCAACTCTAATTGAAGCATCCATGTCTGATTGGAAGGCCAGATCTTAAAAACCGTTTGTTATTTTTTTTCAACATTTCACTAACTTCGGGTGGTATACGAGAGAACAAACCAATAGTAGTAAGATGATGTTCATAATAAGGATATGAAAATAGATTATAAAGATAATGACAAGATAATGAAAAAATGATAATAATAATAATAATAATATAATAATAAATATAATGATAATAATAATGATGATGATAATAATAAAGATAATGATAATGATAATAATAATAATATAAAGATGATAATAATTATAATGCTAACGATAATACGACCACTTCTAATACTACTGCTACTTTTACTAGTACTACTAATACTACTACTGTCACTACTACTACTACTACTACTATTACTACTGCTACACCTAATAGTAGCAAGAATAGTAATGATGACAATAACAATAACAAAAACCATGACAATTACAATAAAAATATCAATAACAATTCAAAAAGGATAATCATAATAATGATAATAAAAATGATGATGATGATAACAATGATAATGATAAAAAAATAATAATATGATAATAACGATGATAATAGTATTAATAAATAAGGATAATACTAATAATCATGACAGTAATAATGATAATTGATAATATCAATAATAATAATGATGTTGATGATATGTGTGACAAAGAGGACCATATTGATAATGATGATAATGATAATAGTAATAACGGTAATAAAGAGAAATACGGTATTCATAACAATATTTGTAAAAAAAAAAAAATGATAATACTAACAATGATGATAATAATAAAAAATATAATATCAGTAATAATAACAATATTACTAATAGTAGTAATAATAATGATAACGATAATAATAAAATGAAAGTGATATTACAAACAATAAAAACAATAATAAAGATAATAAAACAATAATCATAATGACAATAACAATAATAATAACAATAATAATGGTAACATTAATAACAATAATAATGCTTATAACAACAATAAAAAAAAAAAAATCATAATAATAATAATAATATAATAATAATAATAATAATAATAATAATAATAATAATAATAATAATAATAATAATAATAAATAATAACAATAACAATAAAAATATCATTATCATTATAATTACATAAAAATCAGCAAGAGCAACACAATAAATGATGTTAATAATGACGCTAATAATAACAATGATTAATAATAATAATAATAATAATAATAATAATAATAATTAATAATATAATAATAATAATAATAATAATAATAATAATAATAATAATAATGATATAATAATAATATAATAATAATAATAATAATAATAATAATAATAATAATAATAATAATAATAATAATAATAATAATAATAATAATAATAATAATAATAATAATAATAATAACAATAATGAAATGACAATAATAATAATATAATAATAATAATAATAATAATAATAATAATAATATAATAATAATAATAATAATAATAATATAATAATAACAACAATAATAATAATGAAATAATGATAATACAATAATGATAATAACAATAATAATAAATATATAATAATAATAATAATAATAAAATAATAATAATATAATAATAATATAATATAATAAATAATATAATAATAATAATAATAATAATAATAATAATAATATAATAATAATAATAATGATAATAATAATAATAATAATAATAATAATTAATAATAATAATAATAATAATAATAATAATAATAATAATAATAATAATAATAATAATAACAATAACAATGATAATAATGATAATAATAATAATGATATAATAATAATATAATAATACAATAATAACATAACGGTAATAATAACAATAATGATAACAAAAACAATTACATTAACACTACTACTACTACCAATGGGGTAATAATGAAAATATATTACAATGATGCTGATTATGATAGTCAGCCTCACAACTGACGCTAACACTTGAGTTACCCATCAACATTATATGATAGATACCCGTTTTCTTTTATTCTTCTGGATCGTGCCTGCGCAATTTTCTACTACCGTCGTTGACATAGACTTACTCACTATCATTCTATCTATCTATTTATCTGTCTATACATATATGTATATATATATGCATATACATATATATATATATATATATATATATATATATATATATATATATATATACACATTTCTATTTTTCTTCTTTTCTGTATTTTTCTTTCTCTTTTTCTTCATCTTTCCCTGTTCTTATTTTTGTGTTGTGGATATTATTACCATGACTCATCCATTGATCGTAAACAACTTATAAATCCTAACAAAATCATCAGTAACAGACGTCTCCACTGCAGAATTGATATACAGTCTACCATCACAAAATAATAAACTTTATTCTAGTGTTCTTTCCCGATCATCAAACTAAATTATTAATCATCATCACTATCATCATCACTACCATCGAAAATATCCATAATTACCACCACCCCTTGCGACATTAATGAGCCTAATTCACCTTATTAGG